GGGAGCGAGGAAGGAGGAAGGGGGGCGAGGTGCGCGTAAGTGGGCGGGGACTGAGGGGGGGGGAGGAGAGAATGGTTAAGGGCAAGGGGGGGGAGGGGAAAAGGTGGGGAGAGGTGAGTAGGGATGGAGATGGAAGGGAGAGGGGGGGTGGGAGGCGGGGGGCCTGGGGGGTAGGGAGCACTGGAGAGAGGGTGGGGGCGGAGGAAAAGGGACTGGGGGTGTGGGGGGAGGTGGGAGTGAGGGGCGTGAGGGGAGAGAGGTTGCTCGAGACATGGGGGACGGGAGAGGGGGATCAGTGGGAGGGATCAGGGGGGAGAGACCTGGGGGAATGGGGGGGGAAGGGCAGGAGTGTACGCGGGAGGGGTTGGTAGGAGCGGAGGGGCGGAGGCGAAGAGGGTTAATGTGGTCGGGGGGAGGGGGGGGAGGTGATGAGGGAATGGATGCAGGAGATGCGGAAGGAAGAGGGTTGCGGGATGGGAGGGGATACAGAAGCTCTGGGATGGGGGTGGGGGAGAGGAGGCGATTGTTTGAAGGGGGGTTTTTTAATATCTTTTTTCTGTGTTGCTTTGTGTGCGTTTGAACTTGTCGTGTTCCGTCATTGTCTCCCCCGTTCTAGTGTGATTTCTGGTATTCTGTTGATTCTCTCATTCCGTTTTCTTTTGGTTTGGTTATTTGGTTTCTCGCTCTCGCTCTTTGTTTCTCTCTTTTTAACTCTCCTTTTTTTGTTGTCCGTTGTTGTTGTTCGGAGAGAGATACACACTGACTGTGAATAGGTGATACGAGCACTGCAACGATTTCACGCAGCCAGGTGGGACGAACAGGAGGATTTGATGGTGTTTTTCCAGCAGCTGGACAGACATCTAACGATTGGGCTCCCCGAGTTAGAGGGCAAAGCAAGAGAGCGCCTACTGAAACAGCAGTTTATCCGAAGTCTGCCCGGTCCACTCCATGATCAGGTGAAATTGGCGTCGCTGGTGGGAGACAGCAAAGCGTTGGATCTGGTGACCGTCGCCCAGAATTTGTCGGAACGAGTGACAGTGAGAAGCATCCAGCATGCTGAGTTGGAACAGAAAGTAAATCGCCTATCCGAAATGGTGGAGAAGCTGTTGTCGATAGAGTCTTCAAGCACCACTTCACAACGCAATGTACGGGTAATCCGGAACGGTCGCCGCTGTTTCCGATGCAACCAGAATGGTCATGTGGCGAGATTCTGCACCAACGTCAATGTGCCCCATTGTTTCTCTCTATCCATGCCGAGTCGGTGGCGAGTACCAGTCCTCCAGGTAACTATAGAAGGTGTGTGTGTCCGAGCCATAGTAGACACAGGAGCGGCAGTGTCAATTACGAAGAGGTTCAATGGGGTTCCAGTAAACCCATCTTCAATCACGATGCAGACGGTCGGCGGGCATTCTTTGAAAGTGACGGGCACGCAGCGGTTACGAATCAGGATAGGAGAAACGCTCATCAGCCATGACATGTTCATCGTGGAGAAGACTACCGAAACCATCATCGGAACCGACATCCTGAAACGGCTCGGTGTCACAATTGACCTGAAAAACGATGTGGTGATCGTGGCTAACGAGACAATCGAGATAAACAAGGGGAGAACCGACCGGGTTGGTGCCCTCAAAGCCGTGCCGGATTGTCAGAACCGTGCAATACGCAACGTACTGAGCAGGTATGCCCACTTATTCACAGACGCGGAAGATGATTACGGATTTTGCAATTGGGTTGAACACCGAATACCGTTGATCCCAGGAGGACAATGCAAGCCAATCTTCAGACGAATTCCACAGAACACCCTGGTGGAGATACAGAAGCAGGTGACCGAGATGGAATCGAAAGGAATCATCAGGCGAACGCACAGCCCGTATTCATCACCCGTGCTATTGACGAAGAAGGCCGACGGAACCTATCGATTTTGCATCGATTTCAGAGAACTAAACAGGGTGACGGTGAAGGATGCATTCCCGATGCCTCAGATGGAAGAAATTTTCTCAAGCCTTCACAGTGCGAAGCAGATATCTCTGATTGATCTCCGCTCGGGATATTGGCAACTGCCGATCGCAGAAGAAGATCGCCACAAGACGGCTTTCAGTGTCAATGGCCAGCAGTATGAGTTTTTGAGAATGCCGTTTGGATTGTGCAACGCCCCGGCTACATTCAGGCGTTTGTTGCTGATGGTCCTCGCGAACCTGCAAGGCGTGGTTGTGTACGGTGATGACATCATCGTCTTCTCTGAGACGGAACAGGAACATGTGACCAGACTTGGAGCAGTACTGCAGAGACTGGATGAAGCTGGTCTGAAACTCAGTCGTAAAAAGTCGCAGATTGGCCAAAAGTCAATTGTATGCTTGGGTCACATCGTGGGCAATGGTCAAGTCCATCCACTTCCGGAGAAACGCGAGACTATCAAGTGCTTCACAAAACCAAAATCCAAGCGTCAGCTCCGTTCGTTCTTGGGTGTGGTGGCATATGATTCAAAGTTTGTGCCCCAGTTCGCAGAGAAGGTCAGCCCGTTGTTAAAGCTGCTTCGCAAGGACGTGCCGTTCGTGTGGACAGCTGAAGCGGATCAAGCCTTTGACCAGCTAAAGGCATGCATAGCAGAAGCCCCGACATGTCTACGGCTACCCAATCCTGGTGAGAGGTTCACTGTGGCGGTCGACGCAAGCAACGTGGCAATCGGTGCGGTTTTGTCTCAACCGGCTGGGGTGGTGGAGTACGCGAGCAGAGTGCTGACGGGGACGGAGCAGAAGTATTCAACAACGGAGAAAGAATGCTTGGCCATCGTGTGGGCGTTAGAGAAGTGGAGAAATTACTTACTGGCGAATGAATTCCGGGTCGTCACTGACCACAAACCGCTCTCGTGGTTGATGACGGCGAAAGACCCGCGGGGACGGCTTGCGCGATGGGCCTACCGATTGCAGGAATTCAACTTCACCATTGAGCACGTGGATGGTACGCAGAATGTATTGCCAGATATGTTGTCACGCCCGTGTTTGGACGACATCATGCCAGACCATGCTATACCGGTGCGTGCGTTCGCGATGGGAGAGAGGAACCTGCTGGGAGATCAAAGGACAGATGAATTCATGAATGTGTTGTGCTCTCACTTACGGGCTGGCACCAAACCGGAGGCTACATCGGAGGAGGTGGAGGAACTCCTCAAGATCTGGGACAGGTTGAAGGTCGAAAACGATAACGTGGTGGTGGCGATAGACGGACGGAAAGTGCCTTTTGTTCCACCAAATCAGCGAGAACGTGTGATGCGCATAACTCATGATGGCGCCCATATGGGATTCGAGCGGGTCTTTGAATTGCTGCGGAGGCGAGTGTTTTGGCCAACCATGAGGAAAGATGTCGCGGCATACATTCGGGGGTGCCCAAACTGCCAAACGAGTCGGGAGATGGAGTCCCCGAGACCGCCGATGCGATCGATGGAGGTTGGTGAGCCACTTCAGTGTTGGGGACTGGACGTCTTTGGACCCTTACCAGTGAGTCGAACAGGAAACAGATACATTCTAGTGATGATTGACCACTTCACTCGATGGGTGGAAGCCATACCAATCAAGGACCAAACAGGCGAGACAGTGTCGCAAGTATTCGAATTCAATGTGCCTGCAAGGTATGGGATCCCACAGTGTATCATCACGGACCAAGGACCCTGCTTCGAGTCAAGAGCGTTTAAGTCAGTGTTGGACAAGTGGGGCATCCAGAGACGGCAAACTTCACCGTACCACCCACAAACCAATGGCATGACCGAGCGGTTCAACCGGACATTGAAGACGTGGATAAACTGCACGAAGTTGGCATGGGAAGATGCTTTGCCTCAGGTTCTGATCGCGTATCGGACCAGCATGCAATCAACCACCAAGGTCTCGCCATTCGAATTACTGTTCGGCAGAGAACCACGGATTGCGCTCGATACTTGCCTACCGAACCAGAGTGAGTTGAAACATCCAGCTGAGCATCAAGAGCGACTGCGAGGGAAAACTAGAAGCGAAACCAAAGCTCGACAAGCGCGGAATAAGCGGAATTACGACGCCAGGCATGAGGCTCACAAGTGGAGGCCATTCAGGATTGGAGAACGGGTCAAGTTACGGAACAACGATCGGCCGGATCATGACGGGCCGGGTGCAAGCAAGTTCACAGAACGCTGGAAAGGCCCCTACACCATTATCGACCAGAAAGCGGGCAACTTCTTAATAGACTGCGGAGGAATGAAACGTTGGGTGAATGCCGTTCTCCTGCGACCATGGCACGAGAGGAAGAAAGGTCCTCGAGAAGGGGCGGGTGTAGAGGGGCCGCTTCCAAGAATGCTTCGGGGGAGCTCTTCGGAGCTAGCTGAGAGCGGATCGAGAAGGACGGCTAGCGACGAGCCTAAGCCTGGAACTACGGAGCGGGAATATGTGGACAGCGCAATAAATCAGACAAATACGCCGCTAGCGCAGCCCACAGGATCGAGGCCGAGCCGATTGACACAGCCCAGAACAAGCAAGTCGAGAGCTCTCGAACGACTCCTGGTCGATCCAAATCGGGTGCAGAGAAGCGGAGATCGAGGCGAAAACAAGAAGGCGGATCTTCCAAGTCAGAGCTCCCGAGGCGAAAGGACTGGCTCGTCTCCAACATCCGTACCTGTGTTGCGTGGTGGGACGGAAATCTAGTCGATATTCGATGGCGCGCGCGAGACCCTCATGTGCCCATTTTCGGTGTGCAATAAACGTCTACCCCCCTGTCGTGTCGTTCTCGCTACAATATGCACAGACGGAGGCAGACTGTGGTCAAGGTCATCCACACACACCCGTGACGTGCGTGCTGCTGGTTCAGTTGGAGTATTCCTCTCTATCCTCTCCCCATCTCGCAGCGTTGTCACTACGCTCATGAAAACCGGAGTCACCAGCCCTACACTGTGATCCATCATACGGGGAATTATCCTCTACGATTACAGTCCGTGCCATCACTAATCGTTTTCACTATCAGCCTTGATTACGCGCAAGTAAACAACTCAATCACATTGAGCCGATTGCCTTTCTCTGTGACACCGTTCGATACAGAATTCCTGAGGCAGTCCGAAAAGCCTAAGCTTATTCCAATCCGGAGTTTCTCAACACAGCCGTGAAAGAATTTGTGATCTCTCAATCTGCGTTCAGCATTGTGTTCAGATTCCGTTAGCAGGTTTCAGTCACTCGCCTTTCCATGTGACCTGGTCAGCCAGTGCGCCTGCATAACGCATCACACGGACCGCGCGACCACGCCGAGCGCTCATTTGATCTTGTGACTACAACGCTCGCCTGACCGATGTGCATCGCTCTCAAAGCTGGCAAAGTATAGGACGCCAATGAACCCACTAGGTCAGGTAACGACACCAAGTTGAATGACAGAAATGGGAATCCGAAAAGGCTCCAAGCGAAAATCATTTGCGGGTTAGGAGAATGCCACCGATTAGTTAAAATAGGCCTGGCTTGCTCGCACACTTTGTAATGGTGTCATCCGA